CCCCCCCCCCCCCATTTTCTGAACCATTTGAAAGTAAATTGAAGTTATCATGATACTTAGCTGTAACTGTTTCCTCTACCCAGGTAAAAGAGTGGTGGTTTTAGCTACAGAATTCCCTGCTTTCTAACTCCCCCCCCCCAAATAAAATCAAGTTTTATATCATACTGAAGAAATTAAACATGGATATGATGTTTTCTAATAACTAGTTTTTATAGACTGAATGAATAACTAAAATGTCCTTCATAGCAACCCCTCTCTTTGATCTAGGATCCAATCAAGGATCATTCATTTTATTTGGCTGAGATATTCTCTTGTCTCCTTTAATTTATTTTTTTATTTTTTTTGTCTTTTATCCTTTTTTCCGTGTCCGGCAACGGATCGCAACCCTCAGTGTTGCCCCCGTACTGGACCGGGGACCGGCAACGGGTTCGCAACCCTCGGTGTTGCTCCCGCGCCTCGCTCAGCCAGTGAGCGGGAACCGGTCTGTATGTGGGATCCGAACCCTCGGGTGGGAGCGCCGCCGCGCTTCCCAAGCGGCGCACTATCCAGTGCGCCACCGGGCCGGCCCCTTGTCTCCTTTAATTTAGAGCAGTCCTGCTTTTCCTTGTCCATTGACATTGACATTTTTGAAGACTCCAAGCCAGTTTTTTAAAAAAATTTTATTTTAATTGACACATTGTAATTGTACATGCCAGTTTCTTGTAGATTTTCATTTTTTCTGTATTTGGACAATAGTTTCCTATGTATAGCTTTGGGTCACACATTTTTAGGAACAATACTACCTTCTTGATATTGCGTGTTTCCCATTGTATCACATCAGGAGGGCGGTAATGTCTGTGGGTCTCATTTTTGATAATGTTGATGAGCTTGATTATCACTTGGGCAAGGTGTTGTCCACCAGGTCTCTCTATTGCAAAGTTGTCTTTTCTTCTTTGTAAATAAGAGTAATCCATTGGGGGACAATTTAAGACTGTGTGAATATTCTATTTCCCAAAACCTTTCACTCAGTGGTTTGATGGTTCTTACCTGAATCAGTTACTACATTGATGGTTGCAAAATGGTGATTTTCTAATTCTGTCATTTCTTCTACATTTGTTAACTGACATTCTTCTGTAAAGATGAGGTTTCCATTCCCTCCTATATATTTTTATGTATACAGAGATAGATCTCTATATAAATGTGTATATATACATGCACACATATAGACACTACAGTACATACATACAATATATACATTACATGCATACTCTACAGCTCTTTACAGAAGAATAATAGTTAAATGTTGAAGTAATGACAGAATTAGAAAATCACCATTTTGTGATTATATTATCAGTTGCTGCTTTTTTAGTATGATCCAAGAACACACAGTGGGCTGTAGGTTCAGTGGTATCGATTGAGGCCTAACCCGTGTGGGTGACTGCAAGATGTATGAGAAGAAAGTGAACTGCAGCTTGTCTCCTCCATTTTACACCGCCTCTTTTGTTTCCTTATTCTGCAGAGATACCCTAGGAAAATGCTTCTTCCTACGAGTGGAAATTACTCTTCGAGGAGCTACATATAGGATCTCATTTAGTGACACAGATCAGTTACCCCCTCCTTTCCGAATTGACAACTTTTCTAAGGTATTGAGTGGAGTCGAGAGCAGGTTCGGCTGTCTTGTATATGGGAGGGTGGAGTATGTGCTGTCCTTGAGATAACAGTGCAATATATTTTAAACATAGGCTTAAAAGAAGCTATGCGGTGTACAGATAGGATCTCTATGGCTGGACAGACCTAGAAATCCTTACCATTAGGAAAGGGCTTCTGCTGGTTATTTTCATTAAAGGGCAGCCTTGTCCAGCCAGAAGTAACCTTTTAGCCCCCAAAACTTACTTTAACTAGAGTATTTGGTTGACATGATGTCCTCTGTAGACATCCCATACAAACAGAGAAAGGAATCAGATTGTCCAGTGACAGTGGGAATGGGCAATACTACTATGTCTTAGTTACAGTGAGCATTTTTGTAAATCTTTCAAGTAAAACCAAAATGGAAATCGTTAAATTCTATTTTAAATTGTGCCTTTGGATAATAGTACATCTTACAATATGTGACTTTCTGTAGCCGAATTCCAAAATTCTTGTGCCTTTCTGTATTCAGAGTGTATCACAGGGGTCAGGGTAGAAGTGATGCCATTGGAAAGATGGAATTGCTCCTTCTATATATTTGGCTTGGCAAAGCTTCTTTTTTTTTTTTGTCCTTTTCGAGACCGGCCGCACCACTCTCGGCCAGTGAGCGCAGCGAGCGCACTGGTCATCCCTATATAGGATCCGAACCCGCATCGGGAGCGCTGCTGCGCTCCCAGCGCCGCACTCTCCTGAGTGCGCCACGGGCTTGGCCCTTGGCAAAGCTTCTTAATACCCTTTATCCAATGGTTTGTAGCTGGTCTCCTTTAATTAGTGGGCTTTATTGGAATTTGTAAGATGATTAGAAAAGCATTTGAAGAGGTGAGATGACGAGCCTTACTGGTGATTGTTCTCTGTATAGGATTCATTTGGGAAGGATCTGGAACTTAAATATGGGAAGTACTGATTTGCTTTTCAATAACACCACTCTGAATGAAAGTGCTCTTTGTCCTCTCTGCCTTTACTCTAGGTCCCAGTTGTCTTTACTCAGCATGGTGTAGCTGAACCCAGGCTTCGAACTGAAGTGAAGCCCATGACTTCACTGGATTATGCATGGGACGAACCCACCCTGCCACCTTTTCTCACTCTGACTGTTAAAGGGGCAGGTTCCTCTGAGATCAATTGCAACATGAATGATTTCCAGGATAACCGACAGCTTTATTACGAAAATTTCATTTACATTGCTGCTACGTATACCTTCTCTGGGTAATTTTGGATTAAATTACTGCTCTCAAAGTAGAAGGTTCTAATTATTAACTAATTTTAAATTTTAAGCAGTTTCTCAGGAGACTGAAATATGAAGGAAGATGCCTTTTTTCTTAACCAAATCCTAGGCTCAGGATCTAGCTTGAGGTCTTTTAGTCTAAACTCTTTTGGCTAGATTAAAATTTATCCAAGGGCCAGACTCTCCTCTTTTTAAAGATATCCCCCATTAATTCATTCTAGTATTTAATAATTCCTTCTGTATGATGTTATTCTTATAATATCTTCAATTTCTCTTGTTTTAAGGTATTTTTTGTGTATTTCTTAAATTTTATTTGTACCGTGTGTTAGTCTGTTTGCCTCTTTCCTCATTTGAAACTAATCTTCATCGTAATTATTCAAGTCATTATTCTGATTACCTCCCCCATTAAGAATACTAATTAAAGCACTTGAGGGTCTATCTTAGTATTCACCTAAAGCCAGGTAGAGTAGCTTAACTTCATAGTGATTCCAGTTGCCTTAGAATTACAATCTTCACTGTTGTTTGTCTTATTGTATTTAGAAAACTCAGGTGAAGAACATAGAACTTATTCTAATTCTGCTGTTGATTGACACATAGAGATTCAAAACACTGGGCTTTCAAAAAGTGGTCATTCCAACCAACATGTAAATCCAACTTATTGTTTTCTGCTGAAGTAATAGGGCCAATTTTAAAGTTTATCTGTGAAGAAATGGAAAATAGCTGAATCTTTAGCATTACAGATATAAATCACCTGATGAAGAGGATATTTAAAATTATATTCCTTTTCAAAGTGTTCTAACTTGGCATATGAGTGAGATTTTTATATGTGCCTGGGGCCCACAAAATAATTTCTGGATCTTTGCATTATCTTTCTCATATGCTTAGAGTCCAGATTTCAATGGTAAGGAATTGGATTTGCAGAGAACAGCCATTTTTTCTTGTCTGTTGCAGTTCTCTTTGGTAATGATGGTGTAGGAATGTTTGTCTTATAGTGAAGCCAATAATGTTTGTTTGTTGTTTATTTGTTTTTGAAGATTGGGGCACTTACCAGTGTGACATGCTTAAGGTTTAGTGCCTGAAAAACCAGTTCTAAATCTCATTGCCAGTCATGTTTTTCTCCTATGTTCTATAAATTCCAGTAGTTACTAAGCTCTTTAACTGAAGAATCCTAATGGAGGATTATGAGCTTAAAGGGTTGAACTGATATGGAGCACATAAGAAGATAAGCTCCTGGGAATCTTGGTGTGCAGAATCTAACAGTAGAATTAGAATAATCTTGGTGTGCTAAGAGGTAGAATCATCTTTTGGAGTATATTAGATACTGTTTCTTTGCATTCTTGAAGGGAACTAATGATGGGAAGAAGACTAGTTTTTTAAATTTTGTTTCGGTTTGTATTGAAGTGAAATTCATATAACCATTTAAAAACGAACAGTTCAGTGGCTTTTAGTACATTCATGATGTTGTGCAACGACCTCTGCCTTGTTCCAAAACATTTTTATCACCCCCAAAAGAAACCCCAAACCCATTAAGCAGTTACTCCCCATATTCCCTCCTCCTAGGTCCTGGCAACCACCAGTCTGCCTTGTCTCTATGGATTTACCTATTCTGGCTAGTTCATATGAATGGGATCATATAAGTGACCTTTTGTGTCTGGCTCTTTCACTTAGCATAATGTTTTTGAGGTTCATCCACACTGTAGCTTGGACCAGTATCGTTCTTTTTATGAAAACGATTCAGTACTTTTTATGACTGAGTAATATTCCACTGTATGTATATACTACATTTTGTTTAACCATTTATCCATTGATGGGCATTTGGGTTGTTTCCACCTTTTGACTATTGTGAACATGCGCAGTCGTGTGTTTGTTTGAGTACCTGTTTTCAGTTCTTTTTTGTTTATACCTAGGATTGGAATTGCAGGGTTCTATGGTAATTCCATGTTTAATTTTTTGAGAAACTGTCTCATTCTTGGTCCCTTGGGATGTCGGTTTTTGGCTTTTGCTTTTTTTTTTTTTTGGGGGGGGGGGCCTCTACAGGGTCATAGCTGAAGTTTAAGCCACTAAAATTATTAGGAGAGGAAAAACACCTTCTGACAAATGAATGTTTAAACTGTGCAGGGAAAAAATACAGCTCTGATCTTTTTGCTACTTGAGTCAGACTTTTTCTTCTATGCTTTAAAAAATTTTCTTCTTTAATAGAGGTTTTAGGGATTTGCTTATGAATACTTGAATACATGTGGGTATATATATACGCACATATATATATTTATTTTTAAATTCTAGTTTGCAGGAGGGAACAGGAAGGCCTGTGGCTTCCAATAAGGCTATTACCTGTGCAGAGCTCGTCTTGGATGTCTCACCAAAAACACAAAGAGTCATTTTAAAGAAGAAGGTAAGAGACCTTAGGAATTGGAATTTAGAATAAAAGATTTTTAGTGCTGGAAAGGACTCAGGATTTTCTCATCCAGACTCTGTTTTACAGATGAGGAAATGAAGACCTAGGTTGAATGACTTGCACAAGGCACAGAACTCAGGCATCTTGAAAGCTCCAGTTCAGTATTTCCACTGTACTGTGTTTTCACTGTACCATTTCGCCTGCTGTAGGAATTCCAAGCCCTTCTCACTTTCCATACCCTATCTGGATAACTTAATCCTTGAATTTGTGATTTGTCTTTTTTATTATTTTATTTTCTGTTGTAACCCTTCCCTAATCTTTTTCTTAAACTGAATTTAAAGAAATATCAAATTGACAAAATTTTTCCTTTTTTATGCTGACTGCAGAGTTGGAAGTCACCATAAAAAGAGATAAAATTGTCAGTTTGAATTCTTTTTAAGTCAGTTTAAGGAATGTTTATGTTAGTGGCTCTAGATTTGGAAAGGGAAGCAATAAAATTTGGCCAGAAGTATTAAGAATGTCAGAAAGACTGGTCATAAATAGTTGAAACTGAAAGATGGCAGCAGTTTGAGAACACAGGGATGTAGAAGCCATTTTAAGGGGCAGGAGATCACCAGGTATAATAATTTCAAACACATTGACCAGAAAGATGTGTTCTTAAAGGTTTTGTGTAATTTAAATCACATAATTAAAAAAGAACCCTGTCAGAAGATGTCTGTTTACTACCTATGGTGGTATCACATGTGGCAGTAATGGAGCTTGTTTATGATTCATTTGGCTTTGAGGTTGTACAGCTCTTAGCAGATTTTTAATTGGCAGGGATGAGGAGGTGATTTAAATTATCTCGAAGTTTGCACATCAAATGAAACTTAATACACATGTTCTTTAATTTTGTATTTTTAATGGCTTTATTGAAATATAATTCATATGCCATATAAATTACCCTTTAAAGTGTACAGGTCACTGACTTTCAGTGTATTCACAGATATGTGCAACCATCACACAATTTTAGAGCAAGAACAGATTCTTTTTTTATTAAGTAGCAATAGCTGTAGCATTTTAAATAACATTTTGTAATTTATAGGATATTTTCTCATTATTTCACTTGATGAGGATGAAAACTGGTAAATAGGGGAGTAGATAATAAATGAGTTGCATCAATGTCTAAAATTAGGTAAAAGTGTATGAATTGACATTAAGAAATGGACCTCTCCTCTTTCATTGGAAGCCAAGAGTAGGAAATTTGGCATCTTAGATTTTTGTTTGGTTGGATTTTGTTTTTTTACTTTTTGTTTTGGAACAATTTCACATTTTCTGGAAAGTTGATAGGAATTTTACAGAAGTGGAGCTATGATGTTGATTTGTCCCGTTACTGATGATGTTAACTTGGAGCAATGGAGTTACTTTTTCCCTTTGTAATTAGTAAAATATTTTGTGGAGAGGTACTCTGAGACTATGTAAATATCCTATTCCTTATCAGATTTTCTGTTTATATGTATTCATGTGTAAGTCAGTCAGTATGGGCTCCTGTTTCATTCAGTGGGTTATCTGTTACTGTCATTTTTACTGTGATGCACAGTTTTTTTCATTTTGGCCAGTGGGAGCTCCTTTAACTCTCTTGTCTTTTTGACACGTGCTCTTCATTACTTGAGAACTTTCTTTCTTTCTGACACAGCAAGTTCTCCTGGGTCCATCTTACATTTTCCCTGCACCATGCCTGGAATTCTTTACTTCTCCAGGAGCCCCGATCCCTTTTATCAGGGAATGGGATTTGGAAACTTACCATATGTGCACTAGATACACTTGTTGCCATGGTGGTGTCACTGCTCCCAGGTTCTCTCAGAGGACAAAGCTAGGGGCTTTATCTATGTATATATTAGCACATATATGCATATATGTATTTCATACACGTACTTACATATTATATGGGATCTTCAAAAAGTTCATGGAAGGATTCGTAATGTCTTTTATTTATTTTATTTTTGGCGGGTGGCTGGTATGGGGACCTGAACCCTTGACCTTGGTGTTATAACACCATGCTCTGATCAGTTGAACTAACAAGCCTCATAATATCTTTTAATTCCATTTTTCCACGAACTTTTTGAACTACTCTCATATATCTAGAAGCAGCAGTTCACACTATATTTCCAGTTCCAGTCCAGTGTCACAAAGTTTATTCTAATTTTCTTCCTTGTCATTCCATTTTTCCACGAACTTTTTGAACTACTCTCATATATCTAGAAGCAGCAGTCCACACTATATTTCCAGTTCCAGTCCAGTGTCACAAAGTTTATTCTAATTTTCTTCCTTGTCATATTTGTAACTCCCTTGTCCAGCACTGAGAATGTATTTATTGGTTTGATCAGTTCCCCTGAATGTAACTTAACCTCTGTCACTACAGTTGCACCACCTCCTGTGTGGACACCCTCGTTAGCTGCCTTGGGCTCTGATCTCCATGCGCTGGGCAGGCCCCTTACACCCCCCAGCCCTTTACAGGAATGCCCTCCTCATCTCTCTGTCACTGATGCCCCTTTTCGGCTCCCCTCCCCAACTCATTGGCATGATGTCATCTTCACCCACCTTGGGCTTCCATACCCCACTCTGGGCTGCCCCATCACCCATGTGGATACTTTCCTTGTCCCACGTGGGCTTTAGTAGTCACACACTGGGCCACTGTAATCCCCCACCCCATAACAGCTCCCATGGACTTCTGCCTTCCTCAGTCCCATCTAGAGGTTTTAGGACCAAATTATTAGGGCAGGGAGGAAGGGAACTGGAAGGAGAGTGGTGTATCTCAGGTTTTTAAGTGGAAATATTGATGGTTTCCACCTTAGGATGAGCCTGTACACATGGGCAGGCAGTAGAGGAATCCCTGTGTGAAAACTTGACCTCACCCGGGCATCTGTGCTATAATTCCCAATCTGTGGCATCTACAGGATAATTGAGATGCTTTTCAGTGTTGGTTCTGATTCTGTGAATGGGTGTATTCTCTTACTGTAACAGAGAAGCAAGCATGTGGGGATTGGAGATGGAGACGTGCAGCTCAGTTTCATCTCTTTTTGCAGACTTGGAGGCAGTGGCACACAGTAGAAAGAGCATGCTGTCTTTCCAGGTTTGAGTTCTGGCTTTGCCACTTAAAGATACCTGGTATCTCGTATTTCCCATTCCTCTCTGAGCTTCATTTTCCTACTGACCTCCCAGATTTTTTAGAAGGATCAGCTAAGATAATGTACATATAGTGCTATGAAAAGATATGTAATGATAATAACATAGCAAACATTTATTGAGGCCATACCCTGTGCCAGGCATGTGCTAAATACCTTACGTTTATTATACTTATCACAAGAATCATAAGCAGTAGCTTAACTTCCCTCTTTGACAGAGCAGGAAGCAGAGGCTCTAACAGATTAAGGAACTTGGTCAAGGTCACTCAGCTCGTAAATGGAGCGGCTGGGTCTCAAATCCTGGCATTTCGACTCCAGCATCCATACTACTTTGTTTTTACTTTGTAGAATGTAATGCAGAAGCTGTCTTTCCAGTAGCACGTGAAAGAGTTCAAATAAACCCAGCATCTGTTACCCCAATAAATAAATCCAGAGTGTGCATTGCTCCGGAGGAGCTCCTGCCTGGTGAGAGTGTATATGGTTCTGACAGGTCTAGCTGGAGTATAGGTGTTACTGAAATGAAACCATGGATTGTGTTAGAGTGGCAGTATAGCAGAGCAGTTAAGTGTGCTGGCTCTGGAATCAGACTGTGTTGACTCAAATCTTGGTCCCGCCACCTCTAGTTATGTGACCAAGAGGAAGTTACTTCATCTCACTGAGCCTTAACTTTCTCATCTACAAATAAGGATAGTAATAGTATATATAGTTTTGAGGATTAAATGAGCTATTACATGTAAATCCCATGGACTAGTGCTATTACTTCTAGTATATGGAGATTATATAGACTTTTGAGATTGACCTGGAAGCCCAGCTGCTGCTCACAAACTACTCCAAAGGAGAAAATATATTTGGAATTTACAGCAGTCAACTTCGTATAACCTTTGAATATGACCAACTTAACATTTGAATATAATAAACTTGTAAAAATTGGAAACCATCAATATAGTATACTTCCTTTATAAACATTGGAAAGGAGGAGGAAGACCTCTGGTAAATTCTGGTTGTCTGTGAGTTATGAGGATTACCAGTGATCAGATATTGAGAATATCATACATGCTTTATATAATTGGATCCTTCTTTAAGGTAGGGGCACCCAAGGGTCACCATCTGGAATAGCAGGGATCATGGCAATACAGCTGATGTAGGAGATTGCACAGCCATTTGTTTCCAATTTTTAAAAAAGGGAAAAAAAATTAGGTATATGTGAAGGATAAATTTTTAAAATTTTACATTATTTGCAATATTTGGTTGTTTGGTTCAAGAGTCTAGCATATTTCATCCTAAATGCAACTAGGGATTGACAATAATGAGAGTTTGAATTAAACATTTATGTAATGTGAATAAATGTGTAAGTACTATTCTGACTTGAGAACTTTCTCCACACTTAGAGGGAGCTCTTAAAGTAAGGAACTAGCTATGGCCGCACATGATGGCTGTCTGTCTGTCTTTGCGTGTATCTGCTCACCAGGAACCAGGAAAGCGTTCTCAGCTATGGAGGATGACAGGCACTGGAATGCTAGCCCATGAGGGCTCTTCAGTTCCTCACAACCCCAATAAGCCCTCAGCCGCCCGCTCCAGCGAGGGGTCTGCTATCTTAGATATTGCTGGTCTTGCTGCAGTAACTGACAACAGGTAATTTTCTAGGTAACTTTTCATTCAAGCTCAATGCTTTTAAATTCAGACTCAGAGGAAATCTGAGGAAATAAGAGTTCTGTAAGTGAAGTAAGAATTTGTATTTTTAATACTTGTATTTTTCATTGATGACAGGTACCAATCGTGTTCCCAAATATGAGTATTGGGCCTTTCTTCTTCTTCTTCTTCTTTTTTTTTTTTTTTTTTTACAGCTTTTATGACAATACCCACGCAAATGTTAAGAAATTTAAAATAATAAAAAGGATATTAAAACAATAAAAAGAATAGGTTATGGAAAGTGAATATTTTGGGGGTGAGGGGGGCTAGCTGGTACGGGGATCTGAACCCTTGACTTTGGTGTTACAAGGCTGCGCTCTAACCAACTGAGCTAATCAGCCAGTCCAAAAGTGAATATTTCTTTTACCCAAACTTTGAGCCTATCCTTACTCCCTAGAAGTGAACAGTTTCTTTTATTTTAATCTTTCTGATAATTTTGTTAAGTGTTTTGAAAGCAGAAATTAAATTATTAGAGTCATCAAATGTGTTGTTATGAATAGCTCCCTAGATTCAAATCAGCTCTTTAAGTTTGAGTAAGTCATTTTATTTGCTTTTGCCTTGGTATTTCCATAAAATCAGTGTATTTGTTTTCAGTCGATATTTTATTTACTTCCAAAAAGGCTTTGGATGACTTACGAGTTAAAGCCTGAAAGTATTCAAAAATAAAATAGAAAACTATTGAAAAGATTTTAAATATATTCAGCAAATATCCCATCCCATAGTGCACAATAACTTGTCATTGTGAGAATGTGAGAACCTATATTATTGTGTTGAATTATGAAACTTTTAAAGTCTTATCACTTTGTGTCCCCTCTCCATTGCTTTCCATTTTATTTTATTCCTCTTTCCTCATTGAAAAATACCTAACTGTAGTAGGATTCAAGCGAACTGCCCATTAGGTTGTTAGGGTAGAGGATACTAGAAGGAGTAAGAGCAAAGCCAGGATCCTCACATTCTCCTCAGGCCTGACATGGGTGACTCCAAAGACTCACTGCACTTTCCTTTTTCCAGATATGAGCCGCTGATGCTAAGAAAGCCTGATCGCAGGCGGAGCACAACTCAGACATGGAGTTTCCGAGAAGGAAAACTGACCTGTGGGTTGCATGGGTTGGTTGTCCAGGTCAGTAGTTTTTGACATCCCTAGTCACAGCAAGCAGTGGTCGAGCCTTCTTTGAAACAAAGTCTCAACTAGGTTGTATGTGACAAATCATTAAATGAAAGAAATTAATTACAGAGTAATACATATTCTATTTTCATTTTAGTGAAAAGAAAGTCAAACTTTTGTCGTGCATCTGTGTGTATTTACATGGGCAATATTCTTGAGGGTGATATACAACAAATGTGTTAAGAATGGCTGCCTCTGGGTGATAAGTTTCTTTTTTCTTGGCTTATCTGGAATTTTCCCTTTGATGTTAATTACCTATGTAATTTTAAAAAGAAAGAAAGAAAAGTCTCAACTAAAGTCCAACACTAAGGTAGATGGGTTAGTTTTAGACTAATGAAGTTAGTGTAATAGCTGCAACAGCCTTCTGTAAAGTGTTCTGTGAGAAGATAAGCCGTTATCTCGGACTCTACTACTATTAATGATGTTTATTTCTGCATTCTTAGTTGTACCCAAATATGCATTTAACTGTTGTAGCAAATGTCAGAATGAAGATTGCTGGACAGTATCCTCTGTCCTCAAATCAGCCAGTCTACCCCCATGATAAACTCCCAGGTACTTTATAAGCAAATATGTGTTTGGAAAATTACCAAGAGTTTGGATATTTTGCCTTTTCTGGCTTCAGGCTGGGAACAAGACCACGGAGATTAGTAAGTAGGAAGGTGTCTAGGAGGTTTGGGCATGTAGAAGAACACCACGTGTGGCCGTGTGCAGTTCTGCCCCAGCCCGGGGTTTTACCTAAAAGGTAAAATACTAGAACATCAGGCCCATGATGTCTGTTTGTCCCTGGTGTTTATTGTCCCAGGCTGTCCTTTTCTCTAGGGAGATTGTGCTCTAGGGAAGTGTGCAAAACTGTAAGGAGCCTCTGACTGCTATTTGGTGAGATTTATTTTCTTTATCTCTATTGCCCTGAGCTTTTTTCATCAAAGGCAAGCTGCTTACTTATATGAAGCACACATCTGGAATGGATTTGTGATTTTCAATTAGCAATACAATTCAGACTTCTGGAGGCAAAAGAGGGCTTGTTATAATTGGTGGGTTCTGTGTCTGACCCTGCCTTTACTTCTAGTTTGTTTCTAAAGCCCATTTAATTTTGATTCTCTTGGAGCATTTTTCTCCCCCCAAATCCCTTTCTGGCGTTTGTTGTTTCTTGAATCTATTTCATCATTTCTCTGCTTGTGAATGACCCTATTATAACAGTATTCAGCAGAGCAGAATGTGTTTTGATTAGGGAAATAAGCTTGTTCCAATCTTCTTATGATGAATAATAACTGAAGGCATTAAAACATTTCCTGATGCTGCCCTTATTAGGTTGTGTGTGTACTTAATTTCTAAACTTACAGCATTCATAAAAAGCTTTCTCTGTGTTGAAACCTGTCCTACAAACCCAGCTTAAAGTTTTCCTTACCTAGTGTTTAAAAATTAATAAGGGGGACTTAGACTCTGCCATTGTGTTCTCTCCCTGGTGTTTGCTCTCCAGTAGGCATCATCCCGTAGACTCCTATTCCTCTTGGGGCATATAACAAGAAGGTGCTTTTCTCCTAAGGCACGAATAACTGGGCATCAAGTGACATTTACAGCTCCATATTTCGTTTTAGAAGAGGCGCCATCTTTTGGACATGTGGGTTGGTTGTCCATCCATAAGCCTATTTGGGGAGGTTTTCAACTCTAGAATTTGCTTCTTCTTAGAAAACTGAATAGTAGTAAGTAATCATTGTTTTATTTTCAGAATATTTTAGATTTTTAAGCAAATCATAATGAATATACTCAAAGAAACAGAGCTGGCTTTGGCTACTCTTTTTAAAGTTTATTTTAATGACTAGAAGTTATTATAAGGCAGAGTGAAACTGATATACTCTATTCATGGAATTATCCCTTACTTGTAATTCCTCCAATTCATGAAGCCTAACTTTCTAGTCTTACTTAAGTAATTCTACTATTTTTCATCATCTCTGAATCTGAACAAATAGTAAAATGTTTTACTGTACATTGATCATGAACCTGCAAAAGAGAATTTAAATTTAGTCACTTGTTTCAAGTGGCATGTTAAATTGTCAAAGTTAGTCCTTTGCCTTTTCTTATGTGTCTTTACTCCAATGTCTTTTAGGCCAAAGGAGGGCTTTCTGGTTTGTTTGATGGAGCTGAAGTTGTTCTTGGTCCTGACACTTCCACAGAGCTTTTGGGGCCAGTTCCACCTGAGCAACAATTTATTAACCAAAAAATGAGGCCCGGTTCTGGAATGTTGTCCATCAGAGTCATCCCAGATGGACCAACTAGAGCACTCCAGGTGATAATTTATCATAATAACTTACACGAAACTCAGTGTAATTATTACACCCCAACCCCATGGTTAGTCATTCAGCAAACATTTATTGGACTCATTTATGCTGGACATGAGGATATGGTGTCTTCATCTGTAAAATGAGGATAGGGGGCCGGCCCGGTGGCGCACTGCTACAGTGCGCCGCTTGGGAAGCGTGGCAGCGCTCCCGCCGAGGGTTCAGATCCCACGTGCAGACCGGCCGCTCACTGGCTGAGCGAGGAGCGGGGGCAACACCGAGGGTTGCGATCCCGTTGCCGGTCCCGGTCCGGTACGGGCATGACACTGAGGGTTGCGATCCGTTGCCGGTCACGAAAAAAGACAAAAAAAAAAAAAAATGAGGATAGGATCTACTTCACAAAGTTGCTATAAGAATTAAAGTAGAAGTAAAATGTAAGTATAAAGCACAAAGAAAATAATATAAGATAATCTAAAAATGTATAAGAATTAAAGAAGATAATGCAAGGAATAGTGCATATTATTAATGTTATTAATTATCAATCATTATGCTACTATTTAAATAATTATTATATTAATAACATCAACAACAAGAAGATATGAGGTCCCTAATCAGACAATTAAAATGTTGTGTTATGAGAGTAGGAGTAAAGGGTATATAGAAAGGAGATGTATTTTCTTCCTAAGAGAAGTAATGCTTAAGCTGAGACCTACAGGTTAACTGAAAGGAATTAGCCAGATAAAGAGGGAAGGGTGGAGGGGCTATGCCACCTTCAGTCATGAGGTTGTTCATTCAATAGTTACTTATTGAGGGGCTGGCTGGTTAGCTCAGTTGGTTAGAGCACGGTGTTAAAACACCAAGGTCAAGGGTTTGGGTCCCCTTACCAGCCAGACACCAAAAAACAAAAAACCACAGTTACTTATTGAGCACCTATTAGAGTCAGGCACAGTTTTAGGTATTGAGCATACACCAGTGAACAAAGAGACAAAATTCCCTGTCTTCTGAGCTTACATTCTAGGGGTAGTAGACAAATCATGAGCAATAAACATAGTAAGTAAATTATATCATATTTGGGAAGTTGATTAGTAAAGGTCTGCAGATAAGAGAATGATCCTCAGCCCAACTGGCACATAGAATATGGTAAGAAATAATGCTGGAGGTAGAGGCAGGGACCAGATCATTAAAAGCCTGAGATACATACTGAGGATTTTGTGATTTTTCTTATGCAGCAAGGAGCATGGCATAGTCAGAAAGTTATTTTGGATAGCTCACTCTGGGTGTAATGTGGAGAACTGGAACAGGGCAAAACTGGAGACAGAGAAACATAAGATAGGAGGCTTTTATGGTAATGTAGATGAGAGGTTTTGTTGTCCTAACTGGAAGAGATGGCAGGGGGTGGGCATGAGGAAGAGAGAGAAAAAGGAATAGAAATGAAAGCTTATTTTTAGGAGTCAAGTCAGTCATATTTAGTGATTGAATGTGGGGATGAGGGAGAGGAAGGAGTCAAGAATAGCCTCTAAGATTCCAGTTTGGGCAACTAGGAGGACAGTAATCCAGATTACTAAGAAGTGAACACAGAGCAGACCTGTGGATGAAATGCGGAGTTCAGTTTTAGACTTGTTGAGTTAAGGTAACTATGATATCTACATGAAGATGTCCAAAAGTTATTTTAAATACAGATTTGAAGCTCAGGGGAGAAATCAAGTTATAGTGTAATTAGAGAGCTAAGGGAAAAAAGGTATTGGAATGCGATGTCGAACTCTCTGAGATAGTACGTAGTAATCCACAATGCCACTTCAAAAAGCAGTCTTCTCGGGCCGGCCTGGTGGCGCACTGGAGAGTGCACCACTTGGGAGCTCGGTGGCGCTCCTGTCGAGGGTTCGGATCCCATGTGGAGACCGGTTCCCGCTCACTGGCTGAGCGCGGTGCGGGCGCAACACTGAGGATTGCGATCCCGTTGCTGGTCCCCGGTACGGGCGCGACACCGAGGGTTGCGATCCCGTTACCGGTCAGTAAAAAAGACAAAAAGGAAAAAAAAAAAAAAGCAGTCTTCTCTTAAGGCAAACATAACTGCAGTGAGGTTTGCATATTTTGACTTGAGCTATAATTATAGATCACCTACACATACCTAACTACTGTATGAGGCTTTCAAGATCTATGGCTTGTCAGTTTGCCATGTAGACTTAAAACCACTTTTGCTTTGTTATTACACAAATCTTACCTTAGCAATGCTTTGGAAACCGTTAGCTTCCATAGGATTCTTGAGCATAATAGTGAGTTTGACTTACACAATTGTCACGGATTAGAATGGATTTCACTATGGAAGTGTGAGCCTCTTAGTATGACATTTTATTTGACTTTAGATAACAGATTTCTGCCAACGGAAAAGTGACCGCTCATCATATGAAGTGGATGAACTTCCTGTTACTGAACAAGAGTTGCAGAAATTAAGGAATCCAGATACAGATCAGGAATTGGAAGTAAGTTTTAAATGTTGGAAATTTATTTCTTTGATTATCAATTTGTTTAGAATTTTGCTCTGTGGTTTTATCAGTTTAGACCTTCTGTTTTCTTTCTGCCCCCATACGAATTGTAAATATGGGTTTTGCTTCTCAGTGTTTACATGAATGTGTGAATATGTTATGTAACTGAGAGCTAGAGTTTATGTGGAATCATAATGTCATAAATGTTGCTAATGTAAGGTGACAATAAAGGAAGCATAACTATTTGAATTTAAATAGGATTTAAGGTAAGGAATAAGCAAACTAGATTTTCTTTTTTCTGGCTTCATTTTACTCTGAAATCTTCCTTCCCCTTCCCGTTTGGACATTGGGAAGAGAATGAAAAGTTTGCAAAGGAAGACAAGATGAACATGAAAAAAAAAAACACTTATTTAATATTTATTCAGTGATTTTTTAAAAAAATCAAATGCCTGTGTGTAAAGCACTGTGTTGGATGTCATGGAAATACAGTGAATAACCTACTAAGAGCTTGCATCCCAAAGAGGGAGAAAGTTCCTCAAATAATTACTTTCCTGTAATGAAATGTGGAATGTCCCTAGTGCTCAGATGGAGATACCATCACATCACTCTGGAGTTCTGGTTGGGATGGGGAATATGCCTAGGGAGGAAGGTTGCTAGTGAAATGGTGGGATTTGAGCCATCAAGGTGAGTAATAGGACTCTCCTAAGTAGTTTTCATCTGCTCGGAGGGAAAGAGTAGAGGTACTTTTATTTCTTTGTACTCTCCTGACTCTCATGAGCTGTGTTTTAAAACAATCGATATGCTATATTTTGGTTTTCTTTCAGGTTCTTGTGAGGTTAGAAGGTGGAATTGGGTTGTCCTTAATTAATAAAGTCCCAGAAGAACTGGTCTTTGCAAGCCTTACAGGAATCAATGTGCACTATACACAGCTGGCAACCAGTCTCATGCTTGAACTCAGCATACAGGATATACAAGTAAGGAGGGGAAGTTTGAAAATTGTAATCACCTTGTTTTCATGCTGAACACCCAGCCAGATCTAATGTTTGCTGCTCTAAAAACTTAACTGTTTTCAAAATATCTTGTGTCCTTCAAAAAAATCACTGTAGGAAATAATTGTTTCTGCCTTTACTTGTCTCACTAATTGATTTTTCTGTATAGCAGAATTCCAAATATAGTAACTGGTCCATAAATAACTTAGGTAACTTAACTCAGTTAAAGTAGCATGGAAGAAGGAGACCCTGGTTCCTCATCTTACCAGAAGAAAAAACCTCAGGAAATCATCTAACTTGGAGGAGATGAGGTTCATCATAGGGAGAGAAAACAAGGGACCTGGACTTCCACTTCCAGTGTGGATGGAGAAACCGGGACTGGATTTACTCTCTACTTGAAACAATCCCAAAATCCAGATGAAATAAGAAGACAACAGTTTTAAGACATTGGACATCAGACAGTGAAGGATAGGACCCCAGACAGGTGGTACACAAAAGAGGTGAGCCCTGCAGTTGCCCTAGCTTACCGCCTTGAGAAAGTTTCCAGGCCATGACACTGGGAGAGGAGACTGAGACAGAGCCCAGCAGAGCAGATGAGCTGGCAGTCCAGAGAGACTAAGGCAGCTACAGTTTATAGGACAGTATATCTTGGAGAAGAGAACTGCAAAGAAAGACAACTCTGGAGATTGATAGAAGGTTTCCCTCAAGTTTTCAGCAGAGTATTTAGCAGTTGTGTATGTGAGGAAACTACCCATCTGAAAACATCAGAGGGAATAGTGCCTGCTGCTTATACAGGGCTGGGGGTGGTGCTTGTTCCCACTAGCTGGACTGGAAAAACTAAAAATTTATAGAACATTGGGAAGAGTCTCAGGAACGTCTTACCTCCATGGTTAATTAGCTCAAGACTGAGCACTGCTCTTGACCTGCCTAACAAATCATAAAAGGAAGATCTGAAAGGATCAGCCTGTTTCCATGTATATTAACTGTATCCCTGAACAAAGCTCAAGAAGATTTTTGGGGGGCCGGCCCTGTGGCTCACTCGGGAGAGTGTGGTTCTGTTAACACCAAGGCCACGGGTTCGGGTCCCACATAGGGATGGCCGGTTAGCTCACTGGGTGAGCGTGGTGCTGACAACACCAAGTCAAGGGTTAAGATCCCCTTACCGGTCATCTTTTTTTTTTAAAAAAAGAAGATTTATTGGAATACAAAAATATCCAGCACCCAAGGTAAAATTTACAATATCTGACATCCTATTAAAAAAGTCCAGGTGTGCAAAGGTGTAGGGAAGCACACTATATAATGAGGAGAATATGCGATCAAAATTGACCCAGGGCTAGCACAGATGTTAGAATTTTTGGAGGAGGACATTAAATCTGTTAATATAAATATAACTATTCTTTGTGTTCAAAAGCTAAGTACTGATATGGAAGATGTGAAAAAAAAAAAAAAAACAACCCCAGCTTTTAGAGATTAAAATAAAATGAAAATCACACTGGATGGGATGTAATGCACAACCATGAAGGAAACTACACCAAGGCACTTCATAATCAAATTACTCAGTGCCATTGATAAAGCAGCCAGATTGAAAAAAGACAACATTATTGCTTGTTGGGGAACAGTGCAAGTGAGAAGACAGTAAGCAACATCTTTAAAGTACTCAAAGGGGGAGACAAAAACTGTCAACCTAGAATTCATGCCCACAAAGGTATCTTTTAAAAACAGGTGAAATAAAGGTGTTTTTAGATATATGAAAGCTACGAGAATTCATTATCAGCAGACCCGTACCTCAAAAAATGTTAAAGGACATTTAGGCAGTAGGAAAATGGTACCAGATGGAAATCTGGATCTTCAGCAAGTAATGAAGAACACCTGAAATGGTAAATGCACGGGTAAATATAAAATTATATTTTCTTATTTAAATCTTAAGAGATAATTGTTTAGACAAAAATAGTAACACTGTATTTGGGGGTCTATAACATACAAGAGTAAATGTGTAACAGCGATAGCATAAAGGTACAAGGGGAGAAGTGGAAGTGTATTACTCGAATCTATTTATACGTGAAGTGGTGTGATGTCATTTGAAGCAGGCTGAGAAAGATAAACACTGTAAACCTTAAAGAAAACAGAGGTGTATTGAATAATCCAGCAAAGGAGATAAAATGGAATTATAAAAAATACTTGATCAAGAGAAGGCGGAAAACGGGGAAAAATAACAAGATGGTAGACTCAAACTGAACTGTATCAATTAATTAAATGTAAATGCTGTAAACACCCCAATCGAAAAGCAGAGATTATCAGATTGTATAAAAAAGCAAGACCCAATTTCAGGCTGTCTACAAGAAACATACATTAACTATGAAGACAGAAATAGATCAAAAAAGGAAAAAAGAAAAAAATATACCATGCTAACATTAGTCATTAGGAAATAGGAATGGCTAGATTAATATCAAACAAAATAGATTTCAGAGCAAAGAATATTACCAGGGATAAAGAAGGTTGTTTCCTAATGAGAAAAGAATGAATTAACCAAGACGATATGACAGATCTGAACATTTCTATACCTAATCACAGAGCTTCATAGTACGTGAAGCAAAAACTGGTAGAACTGAAAGAAGAAATAGACAAATACACAGTTGTAGCTAAAGATTTCAATACCACTTCCTGAATAATTGAAAGCACAATAACAAAAAGCAGAAAATTATCAAAGGCGAACTGTACTCAAACAGCAGTATGAACCAACTAGACCTAATTGACAATATTCTGGACCATAAAACAGTTCGTAACAAGCTCAAAAGGATTTAAGTCACACACAGTGTGTTCTCTGACTGCAATAGAATTAAAGTAGAAATAACAGAAAAATAGTTGGGAAAATTCCCCAAGTATTTGGAAACAATTTCTAAGTAACCCATAGATCAAAGAAGAAATCAAAACAGAAGTTAGATAGTATTTCAAACTGAATGAAAATGAAAACATAACATCTCAGAATTTGTGAAATGACACATTCCATTAAAGGGACAGTAATAATGGGAAATTCATAACACTAAATACTATATTAAGAAAGGAGAAAGTTTCAAAACAGTGGACTCACCATAACATCTCAGAATTTGTGAAATGACACATTCCATTAAAGGGACAGTAATAAAGGGAAATTCATAACACTAAATACTATATTAAGAAAGGAGAAAGTTTCAAAACAGTGGACTCAGGTGTTATCTCAAGAAACTCAAAAAAGATGAGCAAATTAAACCCAAAATAAGCAGGAGAGAGTAAATAATAAAGATCACAGTGGAAAGCAATGAACTAGAAATCAGCTGCCACAGTAGAGAAAAATCAAAGAAATCAGAAGTTGGTTCTTTAAGAAGATAAATAAGATGAATATGCCTCTAACAAGTCTGTTCAGGAGAAAAAGAGAAGACTCCAATTACGAATATCAGGAATGAGAGAGGTGTCAGACAAGCTGAATGATGACAATTCTCTGGAATGGGCTTTTGTGAGAGCTGCATATTTGTTCTGGCTCTTCAAGTGGCTTCTACACTTCTGAGTTTTCACCACAATTGCAGGGCTGTTGGTTTACAAGGTTACTGTGGAGTTGGGGTGGGGTAATGGGAATCGGACAGGTTAAAATGCCACAGAGCTCACTGTTCTTACCAAGCTTCAGCTTGTTTCTTGAATAATGCTCCTTGAATTCTTGCAAGCCATTGATTAATTTTCAGAGCTCTGAAAAATTTGATTTTGACAGGAGTTCTGTTATCATGCTGTCAGACCAACTCCTGTATCTCTTCATAACATCATACTTGGGACCTTTCTCCTTTCCAACCTCCACCAAAATTGAAATATGTCCGGAAAACAAGTTCTTGGTACACATTTCCAAAAGAAGGATCCAAAGCCCCGGACTGTGGTTCTTTTTGACCTCAGCGGACAGCCTGCATTCCTGCTGGGAATGGCAATGTTTCCCCATGACTGGAGGCTCCTTCTGCTCCCTCAACACGTAATGCAGTGCGATCCCGATTGTCAGTGACAAAATCTCTTTTCAAAAGAATTTTTTCTTTTATCATATATCACAAAAAAGAGAATTCAGGCTAATCAGATCCCATTTGATAGAGGACAGAAAGTCAATATTTTGCAGTTATTTTTCTTTGTCCTATGTTTTTGACCTTGTAGAGGAGGTCTGAGGAGCTGTTTGCTGTTCATTAGTTTCTTTAACTTTATACTTTAATTAAAAAATTTTTTTAAAAATTCTAATACCTTTTGATTTGATGTTTGCTGCAAATTATAGAAAATAAGCAATTTGGGCCGGCCCCGTGGCGCACTCGGGAGAGTGTGGCGCTGGGAGCACAGCGACACTCCCGCCGCGGGTTCGGATCCTATATAGGGATGACCGGTGCGCTCACAGTGCTCACTGGCTGAGCGCGGTGCGGCCGGTCTCAAAAAGGACAAAAAAAATAAAGAAAAGAAAATCAATTTGAGGTTTTACTGTGCTTACAGTGCTGTGAGAATGGATTTTTAAAAATAGAAAATACAAGGGCCGGCCCGTGGCTTACTTGGGAGAGCGTGGTGCTGACAACACCAAGTCAAGGGTTAAGATCCCCTTAACCAGTCATCTTTTGAAAATAAATAAATTAAAAAAAAATAGAATATATAGATCTTATTCTTAGGGAGCATCAAATCTGATTGGGTGAACAAAACTAGTTAGTAATTCTTAGTCCACCTTGGTTTTTTGGGTTTTTTTGTTTTTTGTTTTTTTATTCTTTTGTCAGTCTACCTTGTATCAAATGTGTTTGAGGAAAGAACAAAGAAGGTAGAACAGCTGAGATGTTTATTGTCATTTCATGTAGTGGATGAGATAGGTAATGATTAATTTGTTTGGTAAATTCTACTGAGCATATGCTATATGTATTAGGCTCTGCAGATACAACTCTGACTCAAAAATGTGGTCTCTACTGTCCTGGAAGTCAGTCCCTAAATAAACAAGCAAGCAAGCAAATTGATAATGACATCTTGTGATAACTGTTCTGAAGGCTAGGCTCTGCAGATACAACTCTGACTCAAAAATGTGGTCTCTACTGTCCTGGAAGTCAGCCCCTAAATAAACAAGCAAGCAAGCAAATTGATAATGACATCTTGTGATAACTGTTCTGAAGGAATAAAGAGGAATGGTGCTACTTTAGATAGAGTGGCCTGGGAGGAGCTTCCTGAGGAAGTGAGAGCTGAGCTGAAACTTGGAGGAAGAAAATGAGCAAGCCATAGAGAAGGATACTGGAAAAACCATTTCAGGAAATTATAAAGGTCCTGACGAAGCAGGGACTTGCCCACATTTGAGAAATAATAGGGAGGCTCGTGTGTGGGTTACAGTGAACCCTGAGGAGAGTGGTATGTGAAGAAGTTGGAGAATTTGGTAGTATCCAGATCATGCAGGCCTTAGAAGCTGTGGTGAGAAGTTTGGTTTTATCTTAAGAGGAAGGGACGCTGTTGCAAGGTGTAAAGGAAGGAGAGGGGTATGACTTGATTTATTTTTAAAAGATTACTTTGGCTGCTATATAGAGAGTACATTGTAGGGGGCAGGAGTGGAAGTAGGAGAAGTGCTCTGAGGCTCTTGCTCTTCCTGCACTTTGAGAACCAACAGAAGGAAAGTCAGCACCAGTTATACAAAATGGCCATGTGGAAATCCGTGTGATAGAATGGAAAGGTCAAAGGATCTGGTGCCAGAAATATACGCATTTGAATTCCAACTCTTCCACTTGCTAGCTGTGTGAATGTGGGCAAGTAATGGAACTTTTCTAAGCTTCTGATTACCTGTTTGTAAAATGGGTAGGAATAATACCTAGGCTTGGGGGTTATGGGAGGGAATATGTTAGGTAGTGTGTAGAAATAACCTTCAGATGGTCTGTACCCAGTGCATAATCTCTCCTCTTTCTCTTCCTACTGTGGACCTTTGGTATAAAACATAGAGTAGAGATGGCTGCTTCGTGCTGTGAGCCTCCTGACATCCATAAACACCTGAATGTAGCTAGTGTACAGTAGTCCCCCTCTTATCTGCAGTTTTACCCACGGCCTGAACATTTTAAATGGAAAATTCTGGAAATAAACAATTTACAAGTTTTAAATTGCATGCTGTCCTGAAGTAGTGTGATGAAATCTCACGCTGTCCCACTTTGTCCCGCTAGGATGTGAATCATCCCTTTGTCCAGTAGATCCACACTATAGAAGCCAACCACTCATTAGTCACTTTGAAGCCCTCTTACTTATCAGATAGGCTGTTGCAATGTCACAGTGCTTGTGTTCGAGTAACCCTTATTTTACTTAATAAAATGGCCCCTATGCTCAAGAGTAGTGATACTGGCAATTTGGATATGCCAAAGAGAAGCTGTGAAGTGCTTCCTTTAAGTGAAAATATGTTTAGGAAAGAACATAATATATATGGGATTCCGCACTGTCCCAGGTTTCAGCATCCAGTGCAGGTCTTGCAATATATACCCATGGATAAAGGGAGACTGCTCTACTCTGTTACAGTGCTGATTGGGGTTGGGTAAACAGAGTGAGTCCCTAATGCCACTTAATTGTTTTATTCCCAAGAAAGGAGCGGAAAGGAAAGAGACTTTAGGAAAGGGAACTGTTCCCATTTAGAAGCCATTTGAGCTACTGGTTCTCTAATTGTAATTGTCTTCAAGGAATTTGGAGCGAGAGAAGCATCTATAGCACAGTGGTTAAGAGCACTGGCCCTGGGGCCACACAGAGCCGACTGAAGTCCTAGTTCTGTCATTGAGCAAAGGCTTCTCGCCTCAGCTTTTTCATTTATAAAATGAGGACAGAACTCATGAGGTTGTGGTAAGGATTGCTGCAAAACCCTTAGTTTAATAACACTGATAACATCGTACCGTGTGACTGGATAAGCTAACATATGTGAGGTGACTGGCGTAGTGCTTAGTACCTAGTACTCACCCAATGTTTTTTTAACAATTTTTGCCATTTTTAATTTTAATTAATTTTTAATTGACATATATATTTATCATGTATAACATGATGTTTTGAAATATGTATATGTTGTGGAATGGCTAAATTGAGCTAATTAACATGTTCATTACCTCACGCACTTATTTTTGTGGTGAGAAAACATAAAATCTACTGTCTTAGTGAAACATCTATTGTTATTACTACCGCTATTATCATTACTGGTCTTCGGTGAGAATGCATTTCCCAGCTGCTGTTGAGATAGAGTAGAATGGGCAGGGTACCTTCTGAGTAACCTGTGTGGTGTGAGGCATCACTCACAGGTAAAGTTGAAAACTGAGCGACTTGTCTGGTTTTGTTTTTGTTTTGCTTTTTCATGTCCTAGGTGGACAATCAACTCATTGGTACCACTCAGCCCTTCACGCTGTATGTGACTCCCTTGAGCAGTGAGAATGAAGACATTGAGACTGGCCCTGCTGTGCAGGTCAATGCAGTGAAGTTCCCCAGTAAGAGCACGTTGACCAACATCTACAAGGTGAGCTGGTGGGGTCGATGCCATGCCACAGGGTTGATTTGTTCTGTCACGGCCAGGTCTCAGAGCAGCAGCTCAGGGGGCGGGTGGAAATAGTTCTATAGGGTTAAGCCACATGCGACTTAATATTGCTTGTTTAGGGGAATTTACAGGAACTCCTCTTGGCACTTTGTGTTCTCAGTTGTGTTTTCAATGACTTTGCAGGTGGTAGTCTGATAGTACTGAATCCGTAGGGGTCAGAGTCTATATTTATCGGAGTGAAATCTCTGTAGGAAAGTATAGCATCTTCTAGGTTGGTCAGATTGTCCAGAGATATTGGAAAAGGGCTGTGGGGAATCTGACCTTGGGATAAACATCTTGCTATGTAAGCTACACACTGTTTACTGAAAGCAGATAGTTCAAGAGTGATAAACTCTTTCTTGGGGAAGTTTCCATGTACAAGCTAGATGTTACAGCAGCAAAATCTGGAAAAGAGGGAGTCGACTAAGAGGTTGCTTCTGGTATTTCTGGTCTTCTGTCATCAGTACAGATGGGACCAAGCCTGCATGTAGGCCTCAAATCCACAAGCCCGGTGATGCTGCTCCCTAAACTAGCTGCCATTTACTGAGTGCAGTACCATAAAGTTCATCCAGCACAGTGCACATGAAACAGAAATCCTGACTAACAAGACCCAGATGCCCTGGGAACCAAACAACAGGACGGTGAATCGTTGACAAAACATCTTCTGGAGTTTTTGGTTAATTGTAACAATATATAGAGAGATAAGCCAGAAATAATTTAGCAATAGGAGTATAAAATCACACGAGTATAGAAAAACCATGTCATGTTCCTGAGGCCTTCTTAGTGGTACAGACGAAAGTTCCTTCTGGTGTCCACACTGTAAATCTGAATTTCTTTCTGTCTAGCATCTGATGATCACTGCTCAGAGATTCACCGTGCAGATTGAGGAGAAGCTGCTCCTCAAGCTGCTAAGTTTCTTTGGCTACGATCAAGCAGAATCAGGTAACATAGAGTGTTCTACGTTTGTACTTGGGACTTGGCCCAAGGATGGTATTTTTTAGTCTGTTTGTAAAAATGGGTAGCCCCTGGATACCTGACAAGCTCCCTTTCCATTCCTCAGCCTGAGCTAGGAAGCTAAAGCTTGTGTTTCAGCTGTTTTCTTTCAAAGTATGACTTGCTGTCTGAGTTATGTCTTTGAACTAAGGCAGCTGCTCAGAGGAACTCGAATCCTGGAACATCCAGTGGTGAGCCTTTGGAAAGCGGTATACTATTCCTCTTTGCTTCACATTTTTTGATTCATCTGTTCTAGGATGGCAGAAGTGATGGTAGTCATTTAGCAAACCACTTTGTTTCCTAACCTTTGTTTATTAAATGGACCCAGGGCCAAGAATCAGAAATGCCTTTGGTAGTTCCTTTGGTTTAGTTAAGAGAAAAAAAAAAATTGGCTAGCCTCAGTTCATTAACTTTTGACATCTATACCCATATGCCTTAATGTAACAAAAGTTTCTAGTTACTTTACTCTCTTCTTTTTAGAGGAGATTAACATAAGCTATTGAGAAACCTAAATTTCCAGCTGTGCTACAGAAATAATTTAGCTGTTATATCTTCATTTTAGATTCTTCATCATGACCTTTTCTCCTGTTTTTAGATGAACTTTTCAGGGCTGTATGTACAGCTTAGAAAGAAGTATATGATGCTTAGTCTTTTGAAGCCTAAGCTAAATATTGAGCCTTAAGAAATGATGAGACATTTTGTTTATCTGCCCATGTTGGCTAGAGAAAAAAAAAATCACTGGGAGTGTGTGTACATGTGTACATACATACACACAATGCAAGAAAAATATTTTTGTTCTTTTTATCCCAGATTTAGAATTTAAGCTTTAAGAGTATTTGGGATCAAGAGCAAGATCCTGTCTGTTTAATGCTGTGTTTTCCACTTTGGTTTGGAACGCCAGTGTTTATTTGTATTCAGACAGCCACTTGAGAGCCTGCCTGCCAGGTATCCATTCTGTTTTGGTACCTTCCTGGGAAGTTTTATTTTAAATTCAATTGGACGTGCTTTTCTTGTAAGTTGCTGTAATAAATTTCTCCCTAAGTGTTGCATAGTGAATTTAGACTTTTGTAAAATCCTTGTCTGCCTTTCATTGAAGCATCTCCTCTCCTTGCTATAGCTATTTCTGTTTCCTGAGCACAGATAGGCAGGTCTCTGTTGCAGTATCATTTTTTTGTAAGTAGAAGTGATAGTACTTACACATTAATTTGTTTTATTTCTAAGGCACATGAAACCGATGAAAAATATGTTGCCCAAATGGATGTTGGTACAGCATCAAATGCAAAGAGCACATTGCTATGTTTTAGCCCATTTGAATCTTTTTTACATCATAGAGTAGCAAGTAAAAAATAGGCCCTAATTATCCTACTTAAATGGATGTCCGCCTTTTAGGGGAGAGAGTGCTGCTTATATAGTAATGTCAATTCTTTATAGCCTATGGCCTGATTCTTTTTCAGACATTATGTTTCATTCAGATTCATTATTTAATTGGTGATGTTGTTCATTATGATTCAGTTACACTGTACTCCAGATCCTTACTTGGATATCATTTTATGAAAAAATCAGATAATATGGATCATTGATAATAACAACAACAAAGACAATAGTTTCTAGAAAGCTCATTGCCAGCAAACACCTGTGACCTTTGGCTTTCCCACCTGGATTATTTTTTCCAAAGATAATATCTGCCAGATGTATACCACACGTTAAAAGGTTGAGCTAGTCAGCTTTTTTGCTAAACAACAAGAAACAGATCTGTTTTTACAAAGAAATGTCATCAGGATACTTGTACATGTTACTGAACCCTCAGAAACTAAATTTAGAGAGATGTTTACATTTTTATTGATGAATGTTTTCAATGCGAATATAAGTATTTGAATCATGAGACTAAGGAGATTCTTTTTTTTTTTTTTCCCCTTTAATTCTGCCTTTGTACCAGAGGTGGAAAAATATGATGAAAACCTCCATGAAAAGACAGTTGAGCAAGGTGGAACACCAATTCGATACTACTTTGAAAATCTCAAAATCAGCATTCCCCAGATCAAGCTGAGTGTGTTCACCTCCAACAAGTTGCCATTGGATCTTAAGGTGAGCTTATATCTGGATAAAATTTGTTTTTATTACTTTTCTTCAACTGCTTTGAACATAGATAAATTTTTAAAAATGACTTTTCCTTAAAGAATGACTAAAATCCTTGCCTGCCTTTCATTGAAGCATATTTGCATTTTCCATCCAGCATCATCATTCATAGCAGATATTTTTACAGGCTTCTTTTTTAGAAGGTTTATTGACTCATGTATATTTCCATCTTTTTTTTTAATGTTTGTATATGACTTTGCTAAAGATCAAGGAGTAGCTAAAGAGAATAAACAGAGAATTCTGTAAAACCCACCTGCTCTCGGTTTAGTTTCTGGCTTATCTCAATTAAGTAAAAGCCTCTTTCCTAAGGGTGCTCCTGGACTCAAGAGAAAAACCAAAACCTAAACAGTGTCTTCCTTTTGTGCCCAAAACCTGCCTGCCCTCCTAGTTTCTCTTTCTAAGTATCCTGAATGATTGTCACTAGGAACATCTACCACCTTCAAGGAAGATTCAGCTGCATACCCACTTGGATGTGGCCTCGCCTACCACTATATCAGGATGTAACACTTCTGCAGACCGTCTTGATACACACTTGACAGATACAGTGTGAACACTCTTCATTTTCAGCAATAAAATATAATTTAAGTAAGGAAGAAGGCTGGGATTCAACTCTAAAGGCTATATATTGTTTCACTATACTGTGCTGCCCCCTAGAATATAAAAAATCAGAGAATTTTAGACCTACGAGTCCTCAGTGATGTCCTTGCTCAGTAGACAAGGAAATTGAAGTTCAGAGTGTTTTCTTACTCAAGACTGCCTAGCTAGGTAGTGGTGGGAGTGGGAGTGGAACCAGGTGATTGTCAGGAAGTCTTTGTTTAGTTTGAGCTTAAGTCTGCCTCCCTGCTGTTCGCACCCACTGGTTCTGGTTCTTTCCTCTGTTGCACTTGGTGATGGTTGTCAAGACCTCCATCTTCCCAATAAACAGTCTAAGACTCTGCCCACTGCCCCATGCTGCCTCCTCTAAGGTGTTACAAGATGATCTCTCTTTCTGAACTGGAACAACTGGAGATATGACCAAATAAGTAATAAATCTGAAGTCACAAATTCAGATTCCTACAGGGGCTGTGCTAGCAACACAAGTGAGTAAAGTACTTCATCTGAGAGTGCGTACTTCATCTGAAGGGGCTGCTGAGGCCCCACTCCAGCCTGTTCTTGTCACAGGGGCATGTGAACCCAACATTGCCAGATCTTCAGATTTTTAAAGAGAAGCCGGAAATCTGGATTTTTATATGGAATCTCCTGGTTTTTAAATGTTGGCAACCAATTCAGGTTTCTTGGTTTTTTTTCAAAAACCTTGTGGGTGTAACAAAACACATGTGTGGGCCTCATGTGGCCCATGGTCTGCCAACTCACAACTTCCAAAATAGACTTACAGGTAATGGGACAGGAGTCTGGTCAGCATCAGATTATATTTGGGTAAGGACAGGGCAAGAGTGACTGCTTCGTTGAGGTGGCTAGCTGGGGCTGAGCAGCCAGAGTGCTGGTAGGGACGGGGCACAGCTGCTGCTCCCATGGCTGTCCTGAGAACTGTGCAGTGTGCCCTTCTCCACTCACCACTCTGGCTGCCTAATTTGCTTTAATTTCATGTTTCCCAGGAGACCAAGATACTTAAAATTAGCATGGGAGTGAGGGGAAAACCATGGGAAAACCACTATCTTGCTAATATCCACAAGTATCCACTTGACTTATGTGACCCTTTGGAATGGGTTTGTTTGATAAAGTATATATTCCCCCAGAACACTTGGCACTCGCCCAACAAGCCAATGTTGAAGCATTTCCCGAGAGCTGAGGACTTCTTGTTTTGAAAATCGTCTTACTGAGAAACACAGACACCTAACTATTTCTTTCAAATTGCTCCCAGCAGAAAGCTTCCCCAAACTGACAAAAGCAGTATGATTTTCTGCAGTCGAAGTAGCTCCCGCCCCCAAGTCTTAGGGTATTGATGCTCACATGTGCACTCTGCATACAGTAAACTGGAAATCATTTAAGTTGAATGTTTTGTCTGGCACTATATTGAAGGAACATTTTCAAGGCATTTTTCAAATCATTGTTAAACAAATGAAATGGAGCAGCCGTGTTACGAGGTGTGTGGGGGGCATAGGGAGTGTGGCAAGTTAATGTTTCAAGCAGGGTGCTGGGAATTGGGGATTGAGAATTAAGTTCTCAGCTTGTGGAAGTCACCATTTTACTGTGTCTTGCCTTCTCCTAGTGGAGTCTGGGACTCATAAAATAATGTCATTTATTCAGAGAGTTTTCTAACAGAGTAATCTCCCTTTATTAGTAGCTCTTAGAAAAGGCAATATGCTCTTTTCGATGAATATGTAATGGCTAAAAGTATGTGCTTAGGAAATGGAGTCCTGTCCCTGAACAGGAATCACAAGAGTCTGACTAAAAGGTAACCATGTCTTTGGGATTGAAGGGATAATTGTCTTGATTCTCCTGACTCCAGGCCAGAAGTGGGGTTGTCAGAAATCTTGGAGGGAAATCTCTTCAGGTTTCCACTGAGGGTACATTATTGCCAGATATGGTGTCTGTTCAGAGGGACTCAAAGCAGTTTCCCATCTGCTATCTCAATTGGATTCCTTACTCTGTGATGGAAGAAGGGGGAGATAATAGTTCCGTTTCACAAATACACAGATGAAAGTACAGCATTCCTCCCGCCTCTCCCCTTCTCTCCATTATTCTCCTAAGTTTGCATGTGGAGAGTGGCAGGCATACTAATATCGAAAATGCCAGGTAGCTTATGTGTGTTTTTTAATTTTTTTTAAAGACAAAAGAGGCCAGGAGCCTTTAAAAGTTTTCATAAGGTGGCCTACAGCAGCCCTTTTCCCATTTGGAGCATTGGGGTATTACAAAAGAAGGGCTTTAATTGAGCAATCTAGTTTGGAAGAAAACCCACATTTTAATGGTCAAAGAGCGGGAGGGTGGGGGTAAGGGGGAATTTCAAACAAAGGCACTATTTAAAAAGCCTAAAACTGTCTTCTCAAAGGCTTGAAATAATTTGTTGGGAAACTTCAGACCCTTTACTTTTTTCTTCCCCTCCCTAAATAAAAACCAGATTTGTTAAAAGGAAAAAAGATCCAGTATTGTTAATTGTATTTCAGAAAGTGCCAGAGAGGGAAATATCCCTGTAGTTTTAAACACTGTCCCAAGAGGAAAATAGGCAAATACCCTGCTTCACATAAACAGTCTCTATGTACCATAAATAAACCTTTAAAGAATGAATTCCAGACAGTTTTGTTTAGTGCAGGATAAACTAAGAAAGGAAAGGACATGGCCCAGGGAATAGCCTGTGATCTGAGACCTTATGGCATATAGACAGGTATTTCTTCTTTCAACTCTATATAATAAAGTTTCTGGAAGACTTCAGCAGTTTTTGTCTGGGGAGGTAGGAATAGACAGGTTCCAATTTTTATTAGGAAGTTAGGAGCACAAGATTGCTTTCTCCAGAATCCATTTTATAACAGGAAACTCTGCTACTTGAGTAAATAAGCATCAACTTGGTATACTACTGTATTTGATTAGTCATTTAGTTACTGCAAGAAAAGGCCCTGTTTGGCTTTTTTCCTCACATCTCTTCTACTTTGACCAAATCAACCTGAAGGTGGCAGAATAATTCATATCAACAAACTGTATCTCAGGTTTTCAAATGTGGGAGGCCCTAAAGCAGTAAATGACTAGGTAAAGATAATTTTTACTTAAGGGCCAAAAACATTTCCTTGGTTTAGACAAAGTATCGTAATTATCCAGAAAAGGAATAATGTCTATTGTGAAAGTTTTGACAGCTTTGTGGAGGTTTCAAAGTCTTTGCTACTATATGTGGTTCTTCAATGTTCGGTTGCAATGAGGAAGTTGGGGTAAAAAAGCTTTTTACCCTAAGCCTTTGTTTTGATCTCATTTCCTCTTCTCTGCGAAGAAAGTAATGCTCTGACTTGTGTTGGCAAAACAGTGCTGATCTGATTGTCAGTACCCAGTTGGTTGCAATGAGGAAGTTGGGGTAAAAAAGCTTTTTACCCTAAGCCTTTGTTTTGATCTCATTTCCTCTTCTCTGCAAAGAAAGTAATGCTCTGACTTGTGTTGGCAAAACAGTGCTGATCTGATTGTCAGTACCCAGTTTTCCCAGCATATTTACTGTATGGCTCTAAGTAAAGCATATAAGCTTATTGTGTGAGCCTCAGTTTCTCTGTTAGTGAAATAAGGAAAATAAGGCATGCTTGCTTACTTCATCATCACTCGCCGTGAAGATGGGTAGGGCATGGGCGAGTGAACAGCAGAAGGGTTTTCAGGAAAAACAGTATAATCCTCCATCTGACATTCATGCTTTCTACGTAATAGGTAGTTGCGGTTGTGAAAATGAACATGTTCAAATCTAAGATCTACTAATAGCTAGCTACCTGACTTTAGACCATTCACTTATTTATTAAGTTTTATTATACAAAACAAAAATGAGAGTGTTAGGCTGAGTTAACTTGAGGATGCTTTTAATCTCTAAAATGTTTTATTCTGAAATTATTTAGTAGGAGTTGATCAGTAACTTCCCAAGGCACCAAATCCAGTGGCCATTTTCTGTCCTCACCTCTGCTGTTTTGATATTGCTGACCTCCCTGTATTTCACATCTGTCCTTTCTGGCTCTCCTCTTACTCTGTTCATTGCTTCTCTGTCTTTTTCACTATTTTCTTTTATTTTACCCATCTGTTCAGGGCACATTTTTTTCTCTATGAACTGTCTGATCATATCACTTGTCCATTTTTCTGTCAGGTTATTGGTCTTTTATCTTCTCTGATTTTAGAAGCTCTTCATAAAAGTTTTGTCCTTGATGAAAATTGCAAGTATTTTTTTCTTCATTTTTTCAATTGTCTTTTTACTTGCCTTTGGGTGTGTGTGGGTGTGTGTGTGCGTTTAGTCATATAAGAGCTTTTTATTTTTATGTTGTCAAATTTATCAGTCT